CTGCTCCAGGAGTAATGCCAAGCAAAGAGTTGTACATGTCCAGGACAGATGGGACTTTTTCCAGAATATTTTCAGTTGCAGCTGGCTGAGCTCACAGATAGAAGCACAGATGCGGGGTGCTGCGTGTAATTGTGCTCATGCAGAGAGCTGGGAGGATTAAGAGACAGAGTAAACAGATTTAGTTACGGGCTGCACACGTAAACACTCAGACCAGCTCTACGGCGACCTTAGTCTGCACCTCCAATTTAAGGAAGCAAATCATGTGTCACCCGGGCCGGTGGTCTAGCTGTGCCTTTCTGGGAACAGTTCTAGAGCTGGTGGTGGCATGAGAATGGCTACGAGAGACCCCAAGTTTAGCTGCCACTCTTTGGTGGCCTGATGTGCCGACTGATGGCACTTAGAATCACAAGCTCTGGGTTGTTTGTTCTCTACTGACTAAAGCAAAGGAGGCCACTTATTTTGGTTAAAAGAGAAAGAATTCATTCAAAGCTGGTCCTGTATGCCTCAGAACGCCATCTGCTGTGTCCAGGTGTGTCAGGCTCTTTGACAGCAGGGGGCAGTGGGGGCGGGGCCACAGCTGCCCAGGAGTCCTGTCTAGGGTCTTCCAGTCCTGCCTAGGGGAACGAAACTGGGCTTGGCCTCCAAGCGCCACCAGCCATAGATCTGTCTGCCCCTCTGGGCTGATGAGAGATGGGACCACTGTTGATGTCCTGGGCCCAGCAGGTTTGGAGAAGCCACTGTGAGTCTAACTTCGAAAGTTCTATGCTGCTTAGGGGCTGCAGGACCTCAGGGAAAGGGGCTCCTCTCTGTCCCTCCCCAGCCCTGTGAGGTAGCACCAGGGCTTGGCCATGAAGTTGGGGGAGAGAGGGTAACAGGGACCAGAGGGGTGCTGAAAAGGTCCTGGGAGTCCCAGCAGAGCAGTCACCCTAGGTTCCTGCACCGTCCACCCCTTGGTGACATTTGGTGTCCCATCTGTGAATTCTCCTGTACCACCCAAGGCAGCCA